GTTATATGTTCTCATAATTAAAAATATGAAATAGACTTTTACACCGCAGCATATAATAATAAAAACGATTAAACTTTTACATGGTACAAAAATGATGAACTGTGAAATCAATATCTTTATTTTTAAATAATTTTTGATAACATTAATTGTTTCCTTTTGTTTTAAAAGCTTGAGATAATGAATATCTACTTTATATACGCGCAAGTGTGCGTATCATATATAAACTATTTTTATTTAAAATATTAATTATAATGTTCTATATATTATCAAGTACGTGATCAAATTATCAAGTAATCAAGATTATAATATCATGATCTTTTAGTATTTATCAAATTTATATATTAAAAAAAATATGATAAGAGGTAAAGAACTATGCATTTTTCTCTCAAATCTTCATTTGTATTCTCGTACAAACGACGTACGTTATCATCTAATTTTCTCGAGATTTCAAGAAGCGCATTCAGTTGGGAAATACTACGTACGTATGAACTCCTCTCCCAGGTGCTTTTAATATTGATGCTCTTCGAGTTCGGCGTACTACTTTGGACTGAATTTAGGGTTCCTCGTAACCTTTTGCTATGTCGGCCTCTTGTGCTTCCTCGCGAAGGAATTATTTTAAATCTTTTCATGTACAAAGGATAGAATACACGATAAAGCTTGCAACGATATATACTATATTAACGACCCTCTCCATGTTATACCATTTGGTAAAATACAGCTCCATTAAAATTACAGATTAATGGGTATCGACCATCCAGGTGACACATAAAATATTTTCTCGTTATGATAAAAGATTCTGGCCTGTTATAGCTACACATAAATAACGGATTGTTGCAGACGAATAAATTGATTATTTGCTCTTAGACGTTACAAAAAGTAATTTTGTAATTTTAAAAGTAGTCACACACACACACAGTATTAAACTGCATCTAATATCTAATACATATATATATATTAAGATTTTAATTAAAATATATGTAAATAATATGTAATTATCGTAAAGTTTGCAATTATATCGTACATTCAATATTAAACGTGTCTTATTTTTAGTCTGATACAATATCTGATGCAATGCTCCCTTCGTGAAATACATAAAATTTAAAATCAAGAATTTATATTTAATTTCAAGCATAACACACATTTCTACATATATTTGTTCTCGCTGTAAAAGTACAACATGTAAATAAAAATGTATCTCTAATTAATACGTATTTAGTTTATACGGTAATTAGTTTACAAAACGATAAAGAAAACAATGATGATAACCGAGACGGAGATAATAAAAAGATAACAACGTACAGAAGCCAGAGATGCCGTGAGCTGTCATTTGAAATAAAAGAGTTAATTACATTTGGTTTCCTCCGGCCGTTTCCTATTTTCCAACGTTCTGCGCTGCAAGTTCTTCCAGAAAAATTTTTACCTTCATTTTTTATGCAAATTTCTCGGTACTTCTTCCAGTGTGTATATATACACACTGGACATACGGATTCATTATAAATATTTCGCTTTGCTATTTTCAAAATACTCTGTTTATATAGACGTTGATTCGTATATTAAATGTACAGGTGCATTCCAGTTCGATAGAAGCAAATTTAGCATTACTTTTCCATATGTTTACCGCGATCATTAATTTTTATGCATTTTTTAATTTTAAATTCAACAGTCAGTCGCTCTGTGCTGTTTTTACCCTCTATATATCGCGGTCGAAAATAGATCCTTGCTTCGGACAGAAAATCACTTTAAATCTCTTTAATGTCTGGCACGTTTAAATGCGCAATAAAGTTAACTAACTCGTGACGCGTGTCCTGTCCCGAGTGAACGACTCGCCCGCTCGGTTTTACAGACTGCGAATTTCCGTTTGGCGAAATGCGAAAATGGATACTGGCCAAGTAGTATCAACGTGAAATATTTTCTTGCGGAGATACGTTTTCTGATTGACTCCATAGGATATTTCTCTACGGTATATCCCTTCTGCGAGCAAATATCACATCGGTTTATGCCGCGCGCGGGAAAGATGCGAAACGAACTATCATGCGATGCTAGAGGTAGAATAGTGACACATGGAGGAATATTTCGGAAATGGATATATTTTTAAGCTTTAATTTCCATATTGTTATCTATTACATCTATATGTTTACGACAATTGAAATATATTGAAATATATGTGAAGTCGATTTATACGATGTCACCCGTACTTCTGATGCAAATACTTCTCGGTTTATAAATATCAAATGTTTTATGCATCGCGATGCTCTTCATTCGACACGTATATTTTTCTCTATTGTCTAAGGGATGGCGCGGAGCGTGACAAAGGGGTAAGAAATATGTGGTTATCAAGGGGGATCTAAACGTCTTTGGGGTTCACGATCAATTCCGGTCACGAGCCCTACAATCATCTCACGGCACAGTCGTCGGATTATTCTGGCTGACGGCGCTTCTTGGGGCTTTCAGGTGATCCGAGTCGAGCGGAAGTACGTACGATGGTTACCGGGAGTTATTGACGTGCCGTAGTTATACTGACCGTCGCGCATGTATATATGTGTATATATTTGCTGCCAGTTTCTGGCCGTTGCAAGCTAAGCTTTAGTCATTATTCGTTATGAGCGTCCGATACGTACTAATAGTTGTCAACATTGACGCTTCGCTGACGTCACAAACCTATGCCTAATTTGGCGCAGGTGAATAGGTACGCACCTCCCGCGCCTCGTGCGAGATGCTAATTAACCGCAGGGTGATGAAGGCCAGGCAAATGGCAATATTCGTTGTTTAGCTTCTGAACCGATATCGCACACGATAAAGCGACTGTGTTAGCGCGGATTTTACGGCAACGAAATAATTAACGCAAAAATGTTTTAGGATGTAGAGAACTGTGGAGATTTTGAAAAAGGCAGGTCGGAATAAACATGTATGATGTTATTTACAATACAAAAATAGAAAAGCACCCTTATAAAACAACTTTTTTTTACGAAGAAACGAATATCCATCTGCAAAAATGCCGAAAACGTACACAATGCGTATCGTAATAGAATGAAAGTATTGCCTTACTGAAATATTTATTAGAATAGCAAATACGATATTTTAATATTATTTCGTAATATTCTAGTACCGTCTACTTGAAGAAATTTAGACGTTTTTATAAAAACATGTATTTGCAAACTTGATCGCATTTTTGTAAAAAATATGAAGGTTTTATTTACGTGTAAATCTGCAAGTCAGGGAAATAAGGAAGTTGTACTTTCGAAATTATACATGCATTATGGTAACTATGATAATGTAATCGTGATAAAATTTACAAGTTGCTGGAATATTACTTAGCGTTGGCGTGGAATGAAGGAAAAAAAGATTAAACCAAACTTACACCTCATTTATTATTTGTCATTTTTTTTACATTCTACGTTTTTACAAGGAACACTCACGGGCGCTAAATCGCGCGAAATATTTCAAGTTTGATGGGACATATGTATACGTCTTTTGTTTGCAGGATTAATATTGTCAAATAGTTACGTATGCAGAATTAAGACACGAGCAATTAATGTAATAACGAGAACTGTGTGGACTGCGAAGCGAGTAGTAGTTACGCGCAGCAGTTACTGTTTGTATTCTGTGGACGCGCGTATCAGTAGTTGCGGATCGCTATGTCGGACAGTAGTTTCTAACCGTTATGAACGGGCAGTGATTACTGTTCATTATATACGGACAGTAGTCACCGACTGTTATGACTAACAATTGCGACAGATGCGTTAGCAATCTATATTCCAATTACGGTATCATATATGAGAACATATAGCGAAATATTCAATTTTATTATCTAAATGCAAATGGAAATGATGAACATAACCATCTGCGTTGAAAAACTAAAAATAATACGCGAGATTAATAATCATGACGCGCATATTTTTTTCCACGTTCCATTTTTTATGGCCCATTTCGGTTTATTGCATTAAATTTTGAACGCACTTGAACAAATTGAAGTTAATTTTTTTATCAATATATGAATTCTCTCTCTCTCTCTCAATATGAACTTTACATGTGTATATATATATATATATATATGTAGTTTTAAATTTAGTTTTAAATTTTATTATTTTTTATTCTTGAAATTATAGAATTATTTTATTTCATGTGATTTATATGTGATATTGGATTCAACAATCATTTTCACATTTGCAATTTATTACATAAAACAATTAATGCAAATGTTAAAATTCTATCTAAATATTGAAATTATAAAGGTGAAGATTGTTATATGTAGAATAAACGATTAGAATAAGATTTCTCTTTGAACTAAGTTTGAGCAAGAGTTCAAAGTGTCCCTCTCCGATTTTGATGAACTTTTAATATATACTTTTATTTTTTGATATTATATAGATAGGGTATTTAATATTATCAGATTTTCTCTTTTGGAGCGAATATCTTCGAAACTATAAGAGATAGAAAACAATTTTTCAAACAAAAGTTGAATGGTTTGAAGAGTACTTTTCAAACAATGACAGAAAAATGTTTAGTGATAGTGATATTTTTAAAAATAAAAAAATTTTTGTTATTATTTTAAAGTACTCTTCAAACCACTTAACTTTAGTTAAAAAAAATTTTTTTTTATCTCTTGTAGTTTTGAAGATATTCATCCCGAGAGAGAAAATTTAATTTATATTTTAAAGGGATGTTTCACTCCCTAAACATGCGATTGGACACAAAAAAATATGTCTCTTATTTTCGTCTAGAAAACAATACATATACATTAAAAGCTCATCAAAATTGTAGGGGGATTTTTCGGACTTTTTTGTGAGTATAAGAACTTTGCCTGATTAGTCAAAGAAGCATATAGATACAAAGTGGAAAAAGTTATTAGAAATAATTGAATTGTTTTTCTCTATTACCAGTTATAATCGAATAAATAAAATATCTTGGGTTATTATAGAAATAACTTTTTCTCTCTTTTCGTGAATAATATGATTCGCAGATATTGAATTATATTTATACATTTTCTTGGCTGCTCGCAGGTATCGTGGATTAAGCGGAAGAATGCAGTGTTACACGAGCTACTGACCGTAGGACTGACGACATACGCCAACGACGAACGCTTTCAGGCAATTCATTTCCACCACAGCGAGGATTGGACGCTTCAAATAAAATACGTCCAGCCGAGGGATGCCGGACTGTACGAGTGCCAAGTGTCCACTCATCCGCCCACGAGTATATTTCTGCTTCTTGAAGTCGTCGGTAAGCATAAGACTTTACATTTAAAAAAATATTTAGCTCGTAAATCATGCCATCTGTATTTTTTTCTGGATTCTCAATTGTCTATTTATATCACAGTCATAAAAACTAATCAACTAATGAAATATTATTCCTTTCAGTAAGAAAAAATCCAAAAAATACTTCATCAAAATTTTCCGTTTATCAATATTTTTCCACACATTTTGCTTTCATCATCTTTACGTATTTGACTCACGTATTATACCGAGTATAGATATGTACGGTGCGGCGCACAATGCGTGCGCAAACCTATGAGAAAAACGCGCAAGCTTTCCCGGGGTGCGGCCATATAAATATACGCCCTGTATATCTTAGCTCTCTCTATGAAAGGAATAGGAGTCGTGAAGAGCCACCGTATATGCGGAAAATGCCGCAATGCTTTTGTCCATTTGCTGATAAGAGCGCATCTATGAACATAGGGCGAAAGCCTCTCTTTTCCGTTGCTTGTAACCGTCTGCCTAGCGACCTCGAGACGATTTTACGCACATCTGCATATTTTTCTGGACATTCCTCGCGTAGCTTGTCTATCGCGCCATAAGCCGGGGGGGGGGGGGGGGCAATAATTTTTAAGTCTTTCCGCGCGAGCGGAAAGCCAGACTGACCTGGCGATCGACAGGCACTTTTATTTAGATTTTATTAAGCAGCGGGCGGAAAAAGGGATCGATAGCGTGAAAAATACTTTTTCCGTTGTTGTGTGCGGGAATTTCGCGAAATACGCTCTCGATGCGACGCGACGCCCGCTCGCGCTCTCGATGCACGCGCACCAGCCAGCCGCATATTTGCATTTAGATTCGGCTTTTTCCGGCGCGCATCTCTTATGCGCGAGGCTATCTAATTTCCTCGGGATTTCCCTGGTTCTTTTTTCGTACGTTGTCGTACGCGTCGTACGGTGGTACGCGGTTCCGCCACCCTTTTCCTCAGGATGCTCTCGATATTTATGCTTTCGTAACACGCGCTGTTTAGTGTCACCTCTTTACCCGCAATCAGTTTTTTCAACTTCAGCATTCTGCGCGCTCGCAAACGATTTAAAAAATTTTTCCAAGCAATGACTTTCAAATATTAAGTATGTTACCAAGTATTGCCGACAAATTAATTTACGACTTGTCGCGGTTTTTATAATTAATTATTTATAATAGTTTAGAAAAATTTTTGATATTTACTTAAATTTAAATTACCATTTATTGACATTTAATTATATTAAAAATACAGAATAATAGTATATTATCGTAAACGTAGGGGAGACCAGGGACAAACGTAACAATTTTCTCATTTGTGTTGATATCTTCGAGAGATTTGCTTGTTTATATATAAACGTTTTTTCTTTTATAAGGTAAATACGTTCTTTACTTATATTATAGTATAAATGAAATTTATCCACATTTTATAATTACGTAGAAAAATCAAATTTTATGAAGATCGAGACTTGTTACGATTGCCCTTATCCCTAGGGTTGGTTGTAACAGAGCTCAAGGTTGATTTTAACAAGGTAAAATATAAAAAAATGAACATATAATTAATGTAGCGAAACATTTTAGTTTTTAAAAACTTTTTTCAAATAATTCTGGATATTTTTAATTATTTCAAACAGACATGTTGCTAAACCTCTATTTGTCTTTCTTTTCCGTATATTCGGCATTCTAATAAAATAAATAATATATAAGAATATTCTTATAAAATGAAGATATATAAATGAATAGAAATCAACACCAATAACAATTATTGTTTTCGGGACAGAAGTAACAGTCCGTTACTTCTGTCCCGACTTATATTTTTGCCACAATTGGTCAAATATTCATTGTTATAAAATAACCTAATAACCTCTAAATATGTATCAAAAACTACTTAAAGAAATAGTGACTTATTTATAATAAACAATAAATAAGGAGGTAAAACAAATTTCTAATAAAATATTGAGAAAATAAGAAAACACAAAATACTTATTTGACCGTATTTTTATGGCATCGACACAATAGACACATAACTTCTCATGACAGAGCTTCGAGCGCTACTGAGGTGAGGGAGGGGTTCAAAAGACATTATATAACAGCAGATAGATTCGTACATGAATGTTATTTTTTTAGTAATCGCGTTTGTTACGTTTATCCCGCGTTACTTTTGTCCCTGGTCTCCCCTATGCATTATTTTAAGAATAGAATTATATACTATCGATATTGACATTTATACGTCGTTGTATATTGAAATACACGAAAAAAAACTCAGTACAAAAGGCAGAAAGAGAAATTTTTGCTATAAAACAGAAATATTTATTTATCTGAATTTAAATATTTCTTTTGCTATAACAGCATTTCCTGTATAAAGTTTTATATTATATCAACGTTAATAGTCGTTACATGCCAACAGATATTGCCTGGAGCAGGCAATATTTCACAAAGTTAGTATGGAAATCTTTACGTGCGTGCAACGAAATAAGCTCAAAACACAACTGAATTAAAAAGTAAAAGATGAATTTGTCTATTTGAGCGAAACTTTTTATATGGCAATATCCTGTCTGAAATAAATATCTGAGTAAGAAAAATACTCTATATCAAATAATAGAGTATTTTTTATTATAACTAGAATATCCTTGAAAAATATATGTTTTCTTACAAGGAAGTACACGCAAATGTTCTTCTTTGATTTTGATAAACTTTGGATATGTTATAACATAGATATAATAAAAATAAGAAGTATCTACGTATTTTTTTATAAGTCCTTTTACACACGATAAGGAAGTTAAACATCTCCTTGAACAAAATTGATTTTCATATTTCTAACAATAAGTGTATATCATTTTAAAATGGTAAGAAATAAAAAAATGTTTTAAACAAAAGTTTTATGGTTTCAAAGACATTTTAAAAGGTGTATTTAAATCTTGATAATATTATATTATTCAAAATATCCGGATCATTCTGTTATTTCTGAGAATTAAAAAACTTTGTATATGAAAATTAAAGATTATTTAAAAATAATTCTAGCTATGTATAAAGAAATTCTGAAAAATAATAGAATGGTCGAAAAAATATATTATTAAAAAAATTGAATGTATTGTTAGAAAGTTGTTTTGACACTACAAAACTTTTGTTTTAAAAAAAAAATGGGAAAACTTAAGATTAAGGGCGACCTCACCAATTTTAATGACCTTGATGTATGTTGTCAAGGTCATGACCCCGAGTGACCTTCAGAAGGTTTTAGCCGTCGCTCGTTATTCGTAAAAAGTTATTAACAAAAAAAAGTTTGGAAAATATAGGTAGTAGCTATTTTGAGTATTGGAAGGCATAAACGACTAATATTACGTTCTTTTTTAAAGCAGAGAATACTTTATTTCGCGAGAAAGTCGCTGCTTTACCAAAACACAACATTTAAAGCAGTAAATTGTTGATAAATTGAAGTCTTTTTGTTAAAGCAGAGAATACTTTATTTCGCAAAAAAGTCGCTGCTTTACCAAAACACAACATTTAAAGCAGTAAATTGTTGATAAATTGTATATTGAATATATGTGACTAACTTTATCTTCTTTAATACCACCTCTACTTAAACAAACGAGCTTGTAAATCGCGCCACGAACTCATGTGACAACTCGTCTCGCGTGGAAAGTATATATGCGTGAACTATTTCGACATATATATTAGTCATTTATGTCTTCCAATACTCAAAATAGCTGCTATATTTTCCAAACTTTTTTTGTTAATAATTTTTCAATGAATAGCGACGGTTAAAACCTTCTGAAGGTCACTCGGGGTCATGACCTTGACAACATATATCAAGGTCATTGAAATCGGTGAGATCGTCCTTAATCTTAAGTTTTACCAAAAAATATTTTATATCTGTTTTTGTTTTAACGATGTATGCTTAAAAACGTAAAAGCTAATTTTTTTCAAGAGAATGTTTTATCTCTTTAATGTACATATAATAAGAGCACTTATACGAAAATAGAATGTTTCTTATTTTAATAAGTATATAAATAATTGAGTGCTTCATAATTTTCTTTATTATACACTATATATGTATTTAAAACTTATCAAAATCGAAGGAAATGTGTGTGTGTGTGTGTGTGTGTGCGCGCGTGCGTTTTCCTGTTAGTTTTCTTTTGAAAGGATTCTAAACTATTTGTTAAACATTTTCAGAACTTTTTTGTATCTTTCTTACAGGTATTTGATAAATTACGACTTTATAAATTAAATATAATTAGTATTATATTTTATAAATATAAATTTTTATGAATCACTTTTACATATTTTTTATTGATTTGTAGCTGATATTAATTTTTACTGTGAGATATAACACTTATTTTGATATCTTTCTCTACAAGATACAGAAATTACCCAGTAGATACTGTATATGCATTTGTTTACATTATTTTCTCGCTTTTGTTATTTCTTATCGAATTATATTTACATGTGTCTACCTTTCTCACTGCTCTCTTTCATATTTATGTACCCTCGTCTGAAATATATTGGACATATTTCTACCCACACGCGCTTTTTCTATTATCCTTAACATCTCGAAGGACGATCGAGGGTAGAAACAATTTAAGAAATTGAATCAAACTCTATATTGATCAAACTGCCGTATTACATTAATATAATTACGTAATGCAAATATTTGAGGTAAAAAGAAATCGGTTTGACTTACTAAATTTTCAAATTATAATATCAATGCTGCAATATAACAATATGTCTCGATAAGCCTTACTTAAGTATCAACTAAATAAAGTTGATTGATTTCTTTATTGATTGTTAAGAGAACTGTTCATAAATAAAAAAGTATAATAATATAATTTATACTTTAATATATGCGACACAAAAACTGTGCTATATATTATATATATAATATATATCTTTTTATATATATATAGTAATCAAGTAGCATCTCTCGATTTACTTTCATAGTACGAATCGCTCGCGCTCTGATTATGCTTTCCTGTTTATGCACGGGAGTTAATTTATGCCAAGTTGTTTATAATG